CAAAGAATGGACTTGAGAACTTCTGTTACTCGATGAAAAACACACTCAACGAACAAATTGCAGCAAAACTCTCACCAGATGACAAGGCGGCAATTGAAGCAACCATCAATGGAGACACTCGACTGGCTCAACAAGAACCAATCGGCATGAAAGGATGAAAACACACAGAAACAGAAGGAAGCTGAGGCTAAGATCCAGCCTATCTTCACTAAAATGTATCAACAGAATGCAGCAGCTGGTAACATGCCCGGTGCACAACAGTTGGGCACAAATAAGACCGACACAAAGGGGCCGAAGATCGAGGAGGTCGACTGATGTAATTCACTTATCTTTGCAAAGTTATTCGAACTGACTCAAAACAATTAATTTAAATTTGAATTAGTTTTTAACTATTAATTTGTAACAAAAGTACTTGTTGTTTTGAGTTTGTCCATTATTAAATGTATTTTTGGAAATAATTATAATTTTTGACAGTAAATTAATAATAAAAATATAACACGTTATATAGTTTTAAAAACACAGTAGACACAACAAAAAGGAGAATTTTATACACAGGAGGGCGTCCTTAATAGCGGGAAGACGTCCCTATCCCACAAATTACCTATTTCCCCTATATTCCCATATTTCTTCCCCATGTCCATTTTTTTTCTTTATTTGAATAAAATATATTATATTATTATGTATATTTTACATAATAATATATTATTATGTATTATAATGGATTATTATATAATATACAATATATTTTATTGTAATTTGATAAAAACATGAATTTATTTTTAGTTCAGAAATGCGTTTTTTGTTGTAAATTAACAATAAAAAAACATATTTGGGTCAAAAATATTTATTTTGGAAATAATTCCACAGTTTTATCGTCGATAAATTGGTTAAAAATATTTTTGTAATAACAAGATAAAAATAATTCTCTTTTACCACAAATGGACAAATAGCTTGGAAAATATATATATTTTACTTAAAAAATAAAACCTTTTACCAGTTTATTAAGTTGAAAAGATGCTTAAAAAAGATTAATTTAAAAAAAATGATGTTGTTTTAACTTAAATAGGAAGACAAGAAGATGGTTTTATTATAATTTATTTTAATTGATTATTAATTAATTTTTTCGATGCTTTATTTGACTAAATATAAATTCCAAATTCCAAAATGAGTTTGTTTTCATTGTCAATTGATAATTCTTTTTGTAGATTTTGTGTATAATTTAAACATAAAAATTCTAACAAACGGGCTTTTTAAAGTATTTTTAATTTGTGATGGCATTTGATAAAATTGGGTTGTCCCTCTTAAATAGAGTGTTTTTCATAAAAAATAACACCATTTTGTTATTGATAATTAATAATTTTATCAATAAAACAGTCATGTTTTACTTAATTTTTGAAGAGAAAATTAATTAATAACAATAATTACATTACCATAATAAATAGTTTGTTGAATTAAGACTAAAATGAAATTTGTATATTAAAAACTAAGTTTATTTTAAGTGTTAAAAACAATTATTGTTTTGTATATTATTAATTAACTTTGTGTTTCTGAGAAGAATGTTTTTCATTTTGATAGACAATCCAAACAATATTTGCTTCTTATTTTTTTGACCAACTTATTTATTTTTATTTTACATTGAAAAAAATCCATTTTATAAATATAAATCGAAACAAACCAAAAATACAATGAAAAAACAAAATATAAATAGATGATCTGTAAAAATATTTGGCAAAAGATTAATAATTGAAATAATTATGCCTCTTGGAGAAACGTTTTCAGTTACCCCACGAAAAGAGGAAGGGAAGAAAGCCCAGATCTGAAGCGAAAACGAAGGACTATACATATAGCAGGAGTGACCTAGAAAAGGCTAGAGTTAAACTGTTGGGACCCGAAAGATGGTGACTATACTTGTGGTGTTTAAAGCCGAAGGAAACTTTGGTGGAAGGACTTGGCCGTGTTAATGTGCAAATTACTTGCAATATATGAGTATGGGGCGAAAGACTAATCGAACTATCTAGTAGCTGGTTCCACCTAAATATTCCCTTGGGAAGGTCGAAGTGAGGAAGTAGTGACGATTCGTAAAGATGATGATTGGCATGATGGACAGTTTGATTTTCAACATTTTGACAAACTATGAATAGTCGAGAGATTCAAAAATATACTAATTTATTAGGAATGAGCATATGCGGACTTCAAATCGTCCAAGTTTAATAAGCAGGACTGGCGATGCGGGATGAACCAAACATACAGATTAAGTATCCAAGTTTTGCATGATGAGAACCATAAAAGGTGTTCATTCATATTGACAGGAAATTTGCCATTGAAATTGTAAATTTTCAAAAAAAGTGTAACAACTCATTTACCGAATGGATGAGCCCTGAAAATGGAATGTAATAAAATGAGAGAGGTAATATTGTATCCTTGTGGAGGCTGAGGCACACGAGGAGTAAGGAAATGCATTGTGTCAAGAACACGTGAGTGATAAAGGTAGAGAAGTAATTTTTATTGAAACAGACTTGAGTACAGATCTTGGTGGAAGTAGCAAATATTCAGAAGAGGAACAAAATATCTAAGGACTGAAGAGGAGAAAAGTTTTTAGACAACATTAATTGCAATGAGGTGAATCAATTCTCAAAGACAGGCTGGCATAACAACAATACCCAATGAATATATAAACGTGTACCAAAAAGTAAATCAATTTGAATGTATTTGTTTATATTCTAATTGTTTATAATTATAATAGTATAATTTATTTAATTCAATTAATATAGTAAAAGTGTTAGAATTTTTTTATAAAAAATATAGTTTCAATTTTAGTAAATTATACTAAAAACCAAACTATATAAATTGATGTTTTTGTATTTTTTTGTCAAATCGGTTTGTTGCAATCAAAAAAATCAAAACAGTTCAAATCTATACAAAAATGATCATAAAAAACACTGAATTATTTTTACTCACGAACGTTTTTATTTTTTTGGCGTGAAAAAAATTATGATTGTTTTCTTTGTTTTGTTTTATGGCAAAGTTGATTTTGTTATAATTTGTGTTGTGTGTATCACGTTCTGACAATTATTATTGTAAATTTTGAACCTCTTTTGATTTATTTGTCATCGTTGGATGGTTTTTATTTGTTGTGATTTGTTATATTTGGGTTGTTTTTAAAAGGTCTTTAATATTAATTCTATTTTGAAATTCAAATGGTATTTTAAAAAATTGTCATTACAAAAATATGTCAATGTTTTGGGAATTTTGTTTTTCAAATTGTTATTTTTTTAGTATTTGTATTTATGTTATTGAAATGTTATCGATCCCGATAAATGATGTATTTATTACCTATTATTTTTGGGTAAAAAAATAATAATTCAATATGTTTGTCTTTTAACTATATTTATTAATATTTTAATATATAGTTTTAGTTGATTATTATTATTGAGACTAAATAATTATTTTGTCCTATAACTGCTTTTGATTTATAAACGATTCTAAATAAAATGCCCGATTTTGTAGACATAGCTATCCTAATATTTAAATGTTCATTACACAATAATAATAAATATATAATTATTTAAACTATAAGTTTATAGTTATAAATATAAATCATGTACTAAACAATTTAATTAATTATTAATACATTGTTTAGATTTGTATAGTTTAAAAATATAGTATTGATATTATATGTTATATAGTATTTTTTATAATTAACAGATATATTAGAGTTTTTGAGTTTGATTATTATTATTTAATATAGTTTTAAAATATAAATATTTAGTTAATAACGTTAAATATAAATATGATAATATACATTTCTCTATTATTATTAGTTGTTTTATAGCAGTTTTAATTATTAGTTATTGGTTTTTTGGTTTATTTTTAAGTTGAATAGGTTTATTTTATTACATATTATAATAAAAATATAATTATTTAATAGATTGTTATTTCATTGTTATTTGTGTTATTAAAATGTTATTTGTAACTATCGGGTTGATGTGTTAAGCAGTGCTGCATTTGTCACGATTATTGTGTTAATTATGGCAATCACAGCAGTAATAAAAAATAAACCGATATTTAAAAATTGAATTGGCTTGTTTTCCCATTATTTTGCCAATTATTGATTCAAATAACTATCTATTTCTAAATTTTTTCAATAACAAAAGTCGGCTTTAAGCTCGCCGCTAGATCTAAAAGAACTAAGTGAACATAAATTCAATACCACTTTGGTGACGTGGCAAATAACAAAGAAAAAACACTTTTGTCACGTGATAGACCCTGTTTCAGTCCACTATTTTTTTGTTTTTATAAAAATTACACAATTAAAATTGAAATGTGTAATAACACATAAAAATACAAAACAAAATTGTTTTGATATATAAACCGAAGTATAACAAGTATATCCAATTCATGTTTTCTTTACTTTTACTCTTCATTTCTCTCGGTGTATCGACAACAGTTGTTTTGAAAAAACAGCCTTCTTACTTTGTTGCATATGTCCCCGACACGTGTTACTATAAAAACAACAGCTTAGCTGCTCAAAAAGTTGTTAAGAAACAAGGAGAAACTGAATACACTTTTCAATTTGCAACTTCATGTGATGCTACTTCATGGACGGATGACACAACTGAGTCTTTAGAAGAAATTGATGAGGCATCTCTCGAAGGGTATTATGTAAAATACAATTATTATCAAGATAATGATTGCACAACTAAATTTCCTGATTATTATATAACCTCTTTAGGTTGTGTTAGTTTTGAAGGACAGAACATGAAGATCAATTCTAATGATAAGAAAGTATACATGACTTATTATGCTGATTCGAAATGTTCAACTTCGATTAATGATAAATCTAACATAGAAAAGAATTTTGGAGAATGTGACAATAGTATGATTCCTGTTAATCAATTAC